TTCAGAGGCCCAATTTACGAAAGAAAAACCCTTTGAATAGGCGCACGCCATAGCCTGGAAATATTCGTTTAAAGATACTTTTTTAAAGTTTTAACCTTCTCTTGCGCATTCAAAAAAATCTATAGTTTTTGAATAATTTAAGAATCTCAAATCTTGAATTTCTTAATTTTCGAATTCAACTTCTCAGATACCTTTCCAAGCCTTCCAAACTGAAAAAAGCCAAAAACTCCTTTTTCCATCCTCATAAAAAACTCTGCATTGTTGTCCAACTTCTCATCTCCCTTCTGTTTCTTTTCATAGTCGAGCCGACTATATTTCTCTGAGTTCTCTTCTGATTTTTCCTCTCTCCGTGTGACCACCAGCCAATCCACCAATGTTTTCATTTCCATTACACACAAAGGTTCTATTCGATTCCATTGGCATCTGTTTTCTCCACTTCCCCTCCGACATTCATCATTTTCGTGTGAATACACACCCAAATAGTTGCAATAATCCGTGATGGAAAAACAAGAGAAAAACAAGATTTTTTCTTGCAAAAAAAGATTTATTTTTGGCCAAAAATTGCAAGCAGTGTTGCTTGGAGTGTCGTACTTCAAAATTTCTTTTATCATGTTTTTTTTTATAAAAACGTTTTTCTTATGTTTCCAACTATCGTTCTACTTCATCATTTGCAGCAACACGAAAAAAAACTGACTTGCAAGACGAGAATGGTGTTTTTTGGAATGGGGCGTTGCGTGGAGCGTCGTAGTCAGCTTAGGGCTCCTGGAAAATGATTTTTGCATGTTTTAAGATCAATTTTTCATTTAATATTTCCTAGTTTCTCAGTTTTATGATCACTTCAGAATACCATGTTATCCACGCAGCTTGTTCACTTCTAAAAACCTCGTTTTTTGATTTATTTTTTTATTTTTTTGAAAAACTCAAAACTAACAAAGTGACTGATGAAAAAGCCCAGTGGACAGTTTGAAAAACATTTTTTCTCCTAATAATCTTTATATGAACATTTGAATTTTCAAGAAGCTCTCGACCGCAAAGATAAATGGCCTCCCTTATCAGTTACCGTTCAAACTTCCAATACGATTCCCCAAAAAATCAATCCTCCAGTAATATTTGCCAAGTTCAAAAAATGTTCCCGTCCCTTCACACAAACTACTGCGATCCAACTTGATTCATGCAAACATTGGCCAACTCTCTTTTCTTTGCTTTTTCAACCTTTTTTCACGCTTGAAAAAACGGCGTTCGACACTTCGTCGCATATATTTATAACATGAATGTCCGGGTCGCGTGACGATTTTTCCGCCCGTTTTTTATCTGAATTCTGATCTAAAAGCACAGGAAGTTTCAAGTTTCCAGCTCATGTTTCGCATCCGGAGGCCTGAACGCCGCCCTTTTCGTGGAATAATGACGTCGTTTATCGATGGCTGCAACTCGAATGGTCTTTCTTATTGATTGACGCAACTCGTTTTAAGTCGGTACAGAGCTTTAGATTATCATTTTCTGCTACGTGTTTTTTTATGAACTTTTTATGAGCAGAGGGCGCAGACGAATCAGAAAGTTTTTTTTTGATATCAAAGAAAGCGGTTTTTACTACTAGAAACTCATTACAAGTCAGTACAGAAATTTAGAAAATATTATCCGGAGTTCGCTAAAAAAAAATCCGAACAGCAATTTTTCAAAAGTTTCCAACTTTTCTCGATCTACAACCTTGCAAACTCTTTCTTAAAATCCAGAAAAAGCGAATTTATGAGGCTTCTCCAAAAAACTAGAAAAAGAAATATTGTTCCCACGGCCGAGCCCCATCTTCTCCTTCTTCCATTTCATTTTCCACTTTTTTTTTCTTTTCTCGCCACACCCTAACTTACTTTTTTTCCAATTTGGCCCCCATAACTAGCCCCATACTTCTTCTCATTTCCTTACCTCCAAAATGGTTCTTTCAACTTGAACAAAAAATATGTTCAAAAATCGTCTTTAAAAATGATTAGTGAAAAAATTTAAAAAAAAAGTCCGAAAAATGATTTTAATCATCGTGTAGAGCTTGATAGACTTAAGCTTGTTTAATGAACGGGATTTTCATAACTGAACTTGGTTCTTCAAAGTCAGCAATTATAAGGAATATTTATGCTCTTCTTCTTCTTTCTACGCCTTTGTACTGCTTGAGCGGCAGCGGACCTAAGTTTAGTACCATTTTTCACTATTGATTAGCTCTCAAACTAAAAATCATCATGCAATTTCCACCAGATCACAAGTAAAAGCTCTACGAGACGACGGGTTCTTATCAAAAAAAGGCCCTATTTTTAATCGACCCTAAAAATAGGGATGAAAAGAAGGAGGCGCCATCTTCAAAAGGAAATTTTTCCTTTTTGCCGCGGGCCGACGACACATTTTTGGGGGTGAATGTTTGGAAATGTGTGTATATGGAAATAGATCAGGGAGACGAGCCTTATCAGGTCGAAAATGGACCCGCCTCGCGTCGCCTTTTCCCCCGCTGATAAGGTATGACAATCGCGTTTCGCCTGTCCCCGTTGGCTCGGCTGAGCTTCTTCTTAACTTTCGTAATTTATTCAATATTAAAAAGTTTATGAAGTTTTTGGAGATTGTCGTAATCTCGGAAAACTTGGAAAATTTTCAGCTTCCAGCAATCATTGCTAAAATTGTTTAAAGAAGCACAGTTCACATAAAGGTCTCGAAGCAAAGAGTCATTTTCAGAGTTAATTTCGGTCATGTGCGGCTTTTGACGTCTTTGAACGCTTCAACAAGAGTTTTTTATACTTATATTTGCCTCGATTTAAGGGAAATACTACCATTTTTCTCTATAGTTTCGCAATTTTTTTTTGGAAGTCATCTATGGGCTTTAAGAAAATGAGTATATTTAAGTTTAATCAAATTTTTTTCTCTAATACTTCCAAAATCGTAACCTTCGAATTGAGAATTGAATAGCTAAGAAAAATGATCGAATTTCATCATCCTTATCACACTTGTTTGCATGTTTCTATCCCATTTTTGATTTGGAACCTTGAGCAGAGATCTGACTTTTTATGGGTTCGATATCAAGATGTTAATGAGATGTAGTGCTTTTCAAACGAATAGTTCAATTAAATGGGCTTTTCCCACTATTTTATTTTCAGATCTCGAAATTCAAAAATTCACAAAAAAGGGACCAAAACCTCTTTAACTATTCACAGCGATGATCATGTTTGTTTTTCTGCATTGAAATTCATTATTATCATTTTTTTAAAGTATCAAGTTACTACCATTTTCTTTTGAGATCGTGCATTCTCAAATTTTTAGATTGAATAAAAAGTTATATTTATTGTTTTTTTCAAGCCTAAATCGTAAAAAGAGCCCCGTTTAAATTTTCTTCACTTTAGATATTTGAAAACCCTCCTAAAAATCTGTTCAATCTTATCATACATTTCCTCGTTCGAGTACATGTTAATATCTAATCTACTACATATTAATGGGCCGACGTGTGCACACCTGCTCTTAAAATTTTTCCAATAAGCTTCATTTCTCTCGTGAAAATTGTCTCGCATTTATCTCCATCATTTGCCAGTTGGGTGGCATTTATTCATTGATTTCGCGTTTTTTATTCATGAACAAACCATGTCGTTGTGACATTTTCCGGAGGAGCCGGCTTCCGTCAATATTTACTCCAATTTGAGGGAGAGGGCCATTTTAGGGTTTGTTTTCGGGTTTTATTATAATTTTCTACCTTCCTAGGGTTTTCTTAATCGTTACCTCAACTTCATTCAGGGTTTGAAGTCTTTTAAAGTTTTCCAAGATCCATCGTTTAGTTTCATTAGAAGTAATAGATTAATCATATAGACCCTTGCTTTATCTTTATCTTCCATCATGTCCCTTCTAGATTAAATCGTGAGGTCCGAAATTAATTTCACCTACATTATCAGGACTAATTTACATCTATTCTATTTTCATTCCAGCTTTCAGGTTCATTGGTTCAGCTTCATTCAATTTCTGAAAAAAAATTATTAATATCATTTAATTTGCTTAGCTCCAGATTCGCTTCCAGAAGGCACATAAGGCTTGATTTTTACTATTTCAGATTTAGCTTTTGCTGTTAAACTGATAATTGATGTGCAACTTGCGGTGAATCTGCCTTTCGAATCCTCACCTAGTTTTTCAAAATTTTGACTATTTCGAAATTTATAAATTCAGACAATTCATCGACGTCAAGTTGAATGTCCCATGTTATTCTATTGGCTCACCAAAATTTCTCTCACGCCTCCGTGAGCGATGACGTCAACCGGATTGAAAGTTCTTCGAACTTGCGTGCAAATCTCTCGACAAATTGGCTTCTTCTTCTTCTTCTTCATTATTTTTTGAAATTATAATGAAGCTTTCTAACTTATCATGTTTCGGAAAAATCTTTCCATAGCCTTCTAAGATTTCTAGTGAACTCAATCTAAGACTTCTAGAATCTTTGAGAAGGAACAAAAGTTCTAAACTTGAACAGACCGAATTTCCAGTTCTACCAAGACTTTGTCTGACCAAAACTCTGACATGGGGCGCCAAAAGATCGCCATAACTCTTTCTCTGACACAAACTATTTCGTCGTGATCTAGCTGTGAGAAAACGACGAATTAGTGTATGTCAGAGAAAGAATTGTTGCGATCCTTTGGCGCCCCATGTCAGAAAACACTCAAACTACGAAGTTAGTACTAAAGAGGCCTCCAGGGACCATTTACAAAGTCACTCTCTTCAAGGTGAACTGAACAAAACTTACAAGTTACTTCCTACCGGTCCTACCAGAATACCGAGTGACCAAGGTACTTCGAATCCTAAGATTTCCGATTCTTTTACCGAACTTCCACTTCCTGCCAAGTGACATAATAATTTGAGAAAATGTCCATCTAAGCATGTTAAGACTTTCAAAAACCGTTGACAAGGCTACGCACTTTATCAGCTTGAACAGATCGAAATTTCATTTCTACAAAGACTTCGACAGACCAAAACAGTACCAAACAATATAGTTCATACAGATGAAACCTTCAGGAACCGTTGACAGCTCTCTTTACTGGAACAAAACAATACTTCCTACAGGTGCTACCAGGATTCCGACTGACCAACCAATTCTAACCAAGGTTGCACCGACGCAGAACCAACCCAAATCCAATGAAACGTCCGCACTTTGGCGATCTGCTCCTGCTCCAGAGCCTCCTCCTCCGAAAACGGCGAGGAGAGCAAAAAGAGGAGGGGAGGCCACCAAAATCGATTCGCTTTGGTCCGCAGCCGCCGTCGTCGTCGTCGCCGAGGCTGCCGTCGGTCGCTGTCGTCGAGCGGTCGTCGGTTGGTCGCCGCTGGCCCTCCTCCTCCTCCCATTTTTTCCATTTTCCGCGCTCGCGGCCGACAATCGATTTTTTCCTTCTTTTTTCATAGTCGTCGTCGTCGTCCGTCCTCCTCTCCTTGTTTCTTTTTCGTTCCTTTTTGGCTCCATTTATTATAGCACATCATTTTCTTCAAAACCTAGCTATTTTCCGTCCTAATTATAACCTGAGCAGAAAAGCCACTTTGAAGCTTTTTGAACCTAGCCATTGTCGTTTCTTATCTCCCCCTTGTGAATTTAGGCGAGAAAAAACTTTGGAAGTCCCAAAAACCCATTAATTATCTTTCTAAAGTTTCCAGCTTCAACTTTCAAGCTTCTGAGCCTTATAATTACATCTTTTAGGCCTTAGGCTTTTCGAAAGTAGCCAGAAAAATTTTCCAATTGCCAAAAAAAGTGTTTTGAAGCTTTTAAACCCATTACACAAAAAGCTTCTATTTGCGCAATTAATCATAAAAATCTTGTTAAGCTGAACTTTTCTAATTAACATTTTTATTCTCAACCCCGTTAATAAATGATTTACACACGTTAACCATTTGACATTTTTCCATGTATACGTGAATTTATTATTGTAAACTAATTTAAGATCCTCAAAAAAATCAATTAGATTTTTTTAGCTTGCTTCTCCTGTCCGATTTCTCATAGTTCTGAATGTCAAAATGAATGAAATCGGTAATCTAAATAATTTGAATCAGAAAGAAAACCATAAGCTTTTTTTTTCCGAAAATTGATCAATTTTTCCATTTCGAACTAGTAGTTTTTTAAAAATTTATTTCACTTAATTTTCACGTTTATTCGCAAATTGAAAACCGTTTCAACATTCATATTTTCTTTCTTTTCTTCTCAGCCCATAGTTTGCGAAACAAACTTCATAAAGCGCTGGCAACTGAAAAATCGTTCATTCTACCTAATTTTCCACTATATTTTTGTTCCCTTTCGTGTCTCGTTACACTTAGAAAACCTATTATTCAACTGATTCTGTTCTTATTTTTTTCGAGAAAAAAAATCTTTCTAAAAAAATACATTTTTCTACCCCATTGTTCCCATTATTTTTTTATTACTTTTCGTGTCTGTTCATACTTCAAAAGTGTCCGATTCTTCGCCTTTTTTATTAATTAAATAAACTTAGCATGGTGAACCACGATTTGAAAAGCCATAAATCGCATTCTTAATGATACTTTGATCGTTTTTCTCTTATCCGTTCGAATTTTAAACTGTCCTTTTATTTTCTATGCTCTATACGTTCCACTAAACTTTTTTCGAAAATAATCTCCTTCAAGCTCTTTCTTAACTTTTTCTCTAATCCGTTCGCACTTTGAAACCGTCCGTTTTGTCCTCTAATTTCACTGTTTTCTGTAATTTCACTCCTAAACTCAAAAAATTCTTGTAAACACAACCTAATCGGCAAAAAACACTAAAACTTCTTACTAAAATCTCTTGTCATCTCATTTTCAATCCATCTGATCGGGATTTAAAACCGTCCGCTCGTCGTTTTTATTCGTTTTCAATATGCTCATATTTTTCAGAACATCCTCCATTCAGCACCACCAACCGCTGAAGACCTCGAGTTCTCCAACAGCTCCTACCGCCTCAAGCTCTTGTGCTTCTTCTCCTTCTCCTTCTTCAATTCTCAAACTCTTCTCATCTGACACCTCAGCACATCACCACCGATGGGCATCAAGGGTTCCAAACCGAAACTCTCCAAGGAGGACTTGGAGTTCTTGAAAAAGAATACCAATTTCACCGAGGAGCAAATCAAGGAATGGTATAAGGGCTTCGTGGTGAGTCTTTCATTTTTTTTTTTTTTGATTTTGAAACTTTTGAGTATGGAGAAGTTGAAGTGATTCCGTTTCATGTGTTAGCTTAGAAAGTCGACAAAATGGCTCTTCTAGTTGCTTCAAGAGGTTTCTCAAGATTTTGGGGCTTTCTAATTCTAATCGCCAATTAGTCTGACCTGTCTGTGCTCTTTTATTCACGTGCTGTCTTTATTTTTTCTGTACCGTAAAGAGAAAAGAGAGCGCAGACAAGCTAGACTGTGTTTAGCAGTGGTGACTGTGATTTTTCAAACTAGGTTTTTTTTATCGATTTAGAAAAATTTACGAACTTTTGTTCGAATTTCCAACTTTAGTCTATTCTCAGATGTCTTTGACGTTGAAGGCGCACAGCATTAAAAAGCTTTTTTGCGTCAAAATTTGATCTTTTCTCGTTCATGTTCCTTCAAAAATTTTTTTCTAATCAAGAGTTTTTTTCAAAAAAATTAGTTTTTTTCTCTCTCTCTCTGAACGTGCTAAATTTGAATTTTTTCTTAAGAAACCAGGAAGTCACATTACTCCTATTTGTCAATTTACTGTAATGAGTTACCTGAAACCGGTATTTTGATTTACTCAAACTTCTGATAAGACTAACAAAAGTGAATTTGTTGTTCCGATGAACTCTCAAGATTGTGAAAGAAAATTTCTGACAAAAATTTCGATAATTAAATCAGGGTTGATATCTAAGCCTCGAAAAAGACAAAAACCTCAAATTTCAAGAAAAAAGGGTATTTCGGTTTGTCTTTTTCGCGTTTCCGTTTTTTTTCATGGTTTTTCATTCACCACTGGCTCGAGAATCGGATTAGCAAAACGTTATGCAAGAAAATTAAAACGAGTGTCTCGTTCATTGACTGAGTATGATTGTGAAAAAATTTTCTTAAAAAGTTCTGAGTCGAAATAAGATTAGATCTTATAAAGTCCTAAATTCACCACTGAACTCATAAAAACACAACAGAATCTCTCACAATTTTCCACGGATAATCGCATTCGAAATGGCTCAAAGCGATGCGGCTGGCTAATACCAAAAAACTCCAAGTGTGACCTCTAAACGTCCTAAAATTTGCAGCAAGATTGCCCGAAAGGACACTTGACCAAGGAGCAGTTCATCAAAGTGTACAAAGACTTTTTCCCGTCGGGCTCAGCGGAGGGCTTCTGCGAGCACGTCTTCCGCACCTTCGACACGGACAATTCGGGATTCATCGACTTCAAAGAGTTCTTATTGGCCATCAACGTGACGAGTTCGGGTACGCCCGAGCAGAAGCTCGAATGGGCCTTCCGGATGTACGATATCGACGGCAACGGCACGATCGATGAGAAGGAAATGATCAAGATTATTGAGGTGTGTTTTTCCCCGATTTCTCAGACTAAAATCACAACTGGCTTATCAAGAGTTACAGTAAGCCTATTTTTCAAGATCCGTTTTTGAAATTTCTCCGACTTGGTGAACTTTGAGACAAATTATAAATGAAATGAGTATATATGGCTGAAACGATTTTTACGAAAGGGAAATTCTGTTTTTAAAAATGTTGATACCTTTTTTTTTGAATTTCTGGCACAGTAATGACATAGGTCATAGAAAGTTCTTCTTTAAACCTTAAAATATATATATATATCTATTTATTTTTTTATATTTATTTTTTTCTCTTTGTCTTATCAACCTTAAGACTTCCTGAAATTATCTAACTTCTCATTTTGAAAAAGTTAGATTCTTCTTTACACAATCCCGTTTCCGACTTTTATGTTTTTCCGCTTTTGTTGTTTAAAATTAAATTTCAAACTTACAAAGAAACATATTTTCGAGCAGCCCAACAAAAATCTGTAGTTTGATCCCGAGGCATAATCCAACACGAAAAAAATGCAATCGGAACAAAGAAATCAGAAGTTTGATGCCAAGACCATAATCCAGGTCAATATATTCGACACTAATCACAGCGGTTATAGATATTTCTGCATTGTCTGTCTTTCTAAAATCTACGGATATTTAGAACTTTCTGGAAGCCTCCCAAAGCTCATATGCGTCAGGAAGATCTAAATTCCACAAAAATCTGTAGTTCAATCCCCAAAGGCCGTATTCAACTTATAATCCAATGCACGAGGATACATAGAACATCGAGAACCAAAGAGTGTGTAGTTTGATCCTTAAGACTCATATATTTCCAGGCGATCTACGAGATGCTCGGGCCGGAGGTGACAAAATCCGCCGACGACTCACCGCGGAAGCGAGCCAAGATGATTTTCGAGAAGATGGACGTCAACAACGACAAGGAGCTGACCTTGAAGGAGTTCGTCGACGGCTGCCTGGCCGACAAGGAGCTCTTCCAGATCCTCACCAACGAGGTCAAGAAGTAGAGACACCCGCGCGACAGGTCACTCTTTCCATCTTTATACATCTCTCACAAGGGTGGTCATTTTTATTTTGTGGTTTGGTTATTATCTTCTGAAGATTCACTCACAAATTCTTCTGAACAAAAGTTCGGGTTTGGAGATTTAATATTTCGGAAACTGTGTCTAACACAAAATCCGATGCACTGAAATATTATATTTTCAAAGCTTAAAGTTCGCGCAGGAGACTTTCACGAAGAGTTTGTAGACAAATCTCTAGAAATCCCAAAACCGCAAAATATAATCACCATCCTTGTCAGAATTGGGCGATTTTCGCAAAAAATCCGGAAAAAGAGAATTTTTTTCACGGTTATCTTCTTTTAAAGTAGAAAAACTTTTCCCTTTCAAAAATTCTCTCTCACGCATTTTTCGCGCAACTTTTCCACTCATTTCCATTCTTTCTCCAATTCACACACTCTTTCTTTCCGTTCTTTGTCTCTTCTCTGTTACTCTAAACTCTCTCCTTTCCATCCACTATTTCGCTGAAGCTGGCGAGTTTTTTCCATTCATAAGAATTCTTCCACTCCCGCAAATTCGCTCAACTTAACCTTTTAATAAGACCCTAAGATCCTGAAAAAAAATTTTTATAAAAAAATGCGTCTACTGTGATCTTGTTCTCTCTCATTCCTCTCCATTTCCAATACTATTTCCTCCACCGGAAAGATGCAAAATTTCTTGTCTCCCCCCTACTTACTCCATTATATTTCAGTTTTTTGTGTATAGTTTCTTTTTTTTGCTTTTTTTTTGTTTTTTTTTTATAAAACCACGACATTCTTGAAAATTATGAGCCTTCTGTTCGCACTATTGAGATTTTTCTTCACCCGAAACAGCAGCTTTGAAATGGTTCCCCGATTTCATTTTTCTTTCTGTTCATTGAATTGAGTTTGTATTTGATTTATATATGCGCGTAAATTATTGAATTCGTTTAATGAATTGTGTAAAAAAAGATTTAATAAAATTTTTTTAAATAAATCTTTAGAAAAATTATATTTTACTTTCTTCTAAAAAGCGATTGGTTCAAGGTGAAAATTTTACAGCTGTTTGGGAAAAAAATTCCAGGAAAATTGAGAAAATTCGTCAAGTCGTTCTCGTAATTAATCAAGTCCATTTCTATGACTCATTCGCTGTGAATAAAAGCGTCGTGGTCGCAAATGGAATGGCTCGAAAAATCGCGGTCCCTTAGAAGCATAAAACCTTACGCGAGTAATTTCAAGTCAGGCGCTTTTTGAAGAAAGATCTACCAAGAGCAACCAAGGTCCTTTAAGTGAAAAAAAAAGCGATAGCTCAAGGGGAAACATCAGAAGTCCCCCACTGAAGGCTAACTAAAAGGAAATCTGGAAAAACTTCATTTCTCAACAAAATGGGCCATCAAAAAGCTTTCGACTGAATTGGAAAATTCAGAGCTTCCCTATGGATTTTTTGGCCTCGAAAATTCAATCTACCAAATTTGGAAAGAAAATCTTACAAAAATGGCTCGATTGCGAAACTTGAAATACTTGAAAAAGAATAAACCCTCGTCAGACCTACTAAACTCTAGCTCTCAAGCTCGAAATTTCGTTCTGAAATCGAAAAAAATTTACAAAAAAATTGAAGATAAAATCAAAAGCTATTGAGAAACGCTTTTATTTTTCGAAAAATTCTAACTTTGAAAGCTCGGGTTCTGTTGCAATTCGTATAGAAAATAAAACGGCTTACGAAACTGTGAAACATTGGAAAAATCAATGTTTTCGAAACCATGAGATCGGGGCTCGAAAATTGAAAAAGATTATTTTTTTGAAAGATTTCTCTGAACTTAAAAAAATTGAAACCTTACCTGGTTAGAAAAATTTGAACTAAAATCTGCAGTTTGATTTGGGCAAATTATGTCCAAAAATCTTTAAATTACATCTAAATTTGAAAAATCAAGCTTTCGAACCCCTTCTGAACCTGAAAATCTGGTAAACTCACATTTTCACCGTTTTCCCAAACTTTTCTTTATCTTCTTTTCTATTAGAATTCCAGTGTCACACCACCCGATGGCCGAAAAAAAGTGCGCAAAACAACACTTACGTGGAGAGCAGTGAGTTTTATTTGGACGGAGGGCCAAAGTGCTCCTCAGGCCGAAGAAAAAGGAAAAAGGTCGATTCGATATTAATGCTCCCGTGAGGGCTTCTCGCCGTCATCGGCATGCATTTAGGCACAAGCCAAGAAGTAGGAGAAATCAAAAAAAAGGCGAAAGCCGTTGGGATCTTATATGAATAAATTCCTAAAAATCTAACGATCTGTTTCCTGCCTTCAAATAAAAAAGAACTCTAGTTGGAAAGCTCGACGGCCAAAAATCGTATCACCTATGTCAACTGAAACTACACTAAATTTTATAATTCTTTAAAATGAACCTCTTATCTTTCACAATAAAATTTCGACCATCTAAATTTTTTCTGTCCGGGTTGGAGCTATACTAGTAATACTAGTCATATTTTAATAGAAAAAAATTGTTGAGCTTTCAAAAACTCGAGATAAGTCTCATTTTCTTTTGTGGGTTCTTCAAACTGAAAAATCCAACAAAAAAAGGGGCCTTTGGAGCAAAAAAGGCTTTCCTCAAACTTCAAACACATCGAAAAAAGTTCATTTCGTGTGTAGGTGTTTTGAGACGAAATAATACAAGAAGAAATTTTTTTTCCAATCTAGCCTTTTTTTTTCCAATTATTATTATTATTATTATTATTATCTCATTTCATCAGGTCGACTAGTCGGTCTCATTGCCGCTATCTCATGGGATAATATTCCGGTGCCCGTCAGCCCTGGACAAGCTTGGCGCCGTACTGTCCCAACATGATGAAGCAGTTTATTCGCTGGTACTACCAACGGGACCACATTATTTCCCAACCCTAGCTGTTACGCTGGGACTTATTTTACAACGATTGTGGACCGTAACCCGCGCCGACGACTAACTCTTCGATTATACCATGATTCAGCAGAGACTTTTTCTACAACTTACTCTGAAGACTGAATAAATTGAAATTGAAATTGAATTGAATCTAGCCCATTTTACTAGTCAGGTTTTTAAAAAATATTTTTGGGGTTCAAAAAATTCAAATGAGCTCATGTTTTCAGTCGAAAATTGCAGAAAAAGTGCCACACTTCTGAAATTTCGATACGAGTCCGAATCAAAATTAAACCGCTTATAATTAATCAACTACCTTTCAGCCAGACTCTCACAAAGCTTGACAAGATCTCATCTGTTCAAAAGAAAATTCAAATTATAATTGATCAAGTATTTTTGAACTACAAAATCCTCAAAATAACTTAATTTTCTGTCAGTAGGCACTTCAAGCCCAAAAAGACCGCGTTTCACAAAGTTCAATGAGATCTCGAATTCTTCGGAGACGTACCTAACAATGTCTCCTGTGTGTAGTTGGAGAAGATCCTGCCTGAAGAGTCTTCGCCGCCGCCTTAATCCAATTTCCACTTCTTCTACTTCTACTTCTTCGCCTTTTGCCGTGTCGCTCCCCCTTAACTTCATTCTTCTTCGTCTTGTCTTTTTGATTTCTTTTCCAATTTATATAGGTTTTTACTTGGGGACCAATAATTTATGAAAAAAAAAGGTTTTTAGACAAAACTCGGGACTTTTATTTAAAATTAAGGAAAAATGGACCTCATTCTTCTTCTTCACTCGAAGGCCATTAATTTACAAGGAGAGTTAAACTTGGGAAGAGGTTGCTATATGGATTGTCTAGACAAAACATCTAAAAAAAAATGATGAGAAAACTAAAAAAAAAGTTTTTAACCCGAAAATTCGCGAAATCCTTAGAAGCGACAGTGGCCCCTACAGGGGCAACCTCAGGGCCCTTGAAGTTTATCTCCAACTACAGGAAGCATTAAACCGAGGTTCAAAAAAAAGAGTTGAAAAATGCTTCAATCAAGTTTTCCTTTGAAGAACCCCACGCGAGGTCTTCAAACACCCTAATACAACCCAAAAAACGAAAAAAAAACCATCAAAAAGTAACTCAATTTGAATTTGACAGGAAAAATTCAAAAACCTCCGAAATCGAAATAAAAAGCTTCATTCATTCGTTAGTACATCAAGGCGGACAAAATAATATAGACGAGACAACAAAATGAAGAAAAACAGAAAAGATTTTGGAATCACGGGAGTCAAATTTTTCACGTAGTTTCATCATAGAGATCACTTCTTTGCGCGCGGTTTCATGTCTTCAAAACATTTGTGTAAGACGATTTTGACTCCGCCCGCCTGGGTGTTGCCCTCGTGGCCCTGAAAACTCATCTGATTATGATCTACCTAATAAAATCTTGATATTTTTCAGAGACGGCAGGATGGATACAAAATGGACCTTTTCGCATCCATTCTGCTCTATTTTTAAACCTTCTCGCAAAATCTAGAATAAAGACGAAGATTCAAAGCTTAGAAGCGCAAGGCTCCAAAAAAAAAACAAAAAAAAGCTGGAGCTTCCGTGGAGCTTTCTGGAGTTGTGATAAGCTTATTCCGCGCCAGCTATATGTATTATTTTTGATAAAAAGAGGAAATTTAAACTTCCAGTAAAAATCTGACTCCGAAGGTTTCCGAAAGATTGAACCTCTAAAAACAAAGTTAGGATTTTCTGACGCAACTGTACCCGAAAACATTATTTTCCTCATCCTTTTTTTTTTTGGAAAAAAGCGAAGATTAGGACAGACGTCGAGTCACTTACCCGACTCCAGTCGTATCCAAGAGCGTAGGCCAAGATCTGGCCGGAGGAATGAACGTCGGCGCAGGTCAACGGCATCGGATGGCTGTCCGACGTCTTCAGCTTGGTCCTCGCGTCCTTGTCCCACATCGAGTAGCGGCCGTCGGAGCCGATCGTCACCAGAGTGCCGTGAGACGGGTGGAACGCCACGTCGTTCACCTAGAATCAGTATTTATTGAACTTTCTTATCAGTAGAATGAACATTTCGAAAGTGATTTATCTGATATTTGAAAAACGTTGTATTTCCAAAACTTTCTTAACATTTTACACACTGATTTAGAAAACTGGCTCATGTCTTCTCAAACTTTTTTTGGAGCTTTTTCTCATCCACAGAGGGCCCCTCAAAAACTCTCGAATCTTTCGAATCTATTTTTCAGACGAAGAAAATCCAAGGGCAAGTTTTAATGAATTTTCGAGCTGCAGTGCGATAAGACATTCCAAATGCGACCAAAAATCTTGAAGTCTTTGAAGTTCCCCTTTTTTCAATCCCAAACCTTGCCCAGCCTGTTTTCAAAAAAATTTCTGATTTTCCCACCAAAAGCGGTTTCTTTTTTCTGAGTCATACTCCTACTGTCCCCAGCTCTACTCAATCTTCAAAAATACGATATAAATTATAAATCACAGAAAGTTCGAACTAATCTAAATTTGGCTATTGCCCACACCCAGAAAGGGAAGAACCCTTGAAACAAGAGACGAGGCCCCGAAATACGAACGCGTAGGCGACTTTCTTCGATTTCAGTTGATCCCAGCGGATTTGGCCCACACACACATGGAGAAACTAAGATGAAGAAGACGCGACGTGGGGATCTTTTCCGAGAAATGAACACCCACACAGACGCAAAATTCACATAATGAGGGCGAAGCTCAAGGATCGAGGGGTCTGTCTAGCGTGAAAAAATAAGGCTAATAATAGTTTTTTTTTTTCTGAGTGTTTCAATAAAACAACCAAACGTTGCGATTCATCGAACTTCTTCCTGGTTTCTGTTCAGATCTAGGAAAAGCTCATCATTATTATCATTATCACAGAAAACGAATATATTTCTCATTTGGTAAATATATAATGCCTCTTTTTTCTCGGCGGTACGCGGTGTTCAAAGTTGTGTGCAAAGCGTACGCGTTGGGTTTGAGACTTATATGCGGAAATGATCACTTTATGGGAGTTCTTTGTTCGAAATTTGCTTTAGTTAATCAATTAAAGTGATTTCTGAAAAACGATTCATGTGAATTATGTGATATTTTAGACAGGAAACGTAAATAAAATTTGAAGAAATAGACAGGCAGTAAAAATGCATCGCACACACTCGGTAAAATGGATTATGAATTTTCGTTTTATCCTTCTGTTCAGGAACTGGAGATACCGCTCTCTTTGTTGCGAGCGCGTATGTATCTCCTGGAGTTGGCAGCCCAGTTATGAACCTGGCTTATCATCAGCATATCTTACTGCTTTCCAGCATACCTCTGTGCTTCATTGCGGATACTTCTGCCTTGTATGTTATCCTCTTTCCTCATGGAATGTGGGTTCTGATAACCGCTTCTCACTCAGCGAGGATCGCAATGAAACTCCTCTGACGCCTTCTCTTCTCCAAGAAGTACTACACCGTCAGACAGAATCATGTTTCCAGAAATTTCAGCTTCTGGGGCACTATGATCAAAGTGCGTAGAATCCTTGCGGATTTATGGATTGAATAATCTGCATTCTTTCATAGGATTCTAGTCGAACCCTGGTTTCTCAAGGTGACATGCATCTGGCTAGTTCAGGATTGCACTTCCTGTTGCCAATCGCCTCGTGTCTGATATAGGCATAACCAACGGCTTCAGTTTGTTACTGGAAACCTCAACTGGTTTTCCTCAGGTTGACAAACTTCTTTGTCCTTGCCTGATTCGTTCCCGAGGACCCGGATCTCGACGAAATTTACTTCGGAGTTCCAGAATTGGTCCTATTTGGGATCAACAGTTTCTTGTTGCTCTGGTCCGGGTAGTGACTCTGACTGTCAGTGAGACCCCGGGCCTTGGTTCCTTCACGGATCCACTTTCGCTTAATTTACGGATATCAGTCTCCGTTGGTTTAAGCGCGGTCCCTGTGGGTTGTTTATCACAGGGCCTCAGACCTCGGTTCCATGTTGGATCCGATTTTCGGTTCGAACCAGGTGAACGAGATCTCCTGGTTCTCACCAGGATCCTGTCTGACTCCGACAGGACCCCGACCGATCTGTAGCACAGGGCCTCAGACCTCGGTTCCATGCTGAATCCGATTTTCGGTTCGAACCAGGTGAACGAGATCTCCTGGTTCTCACCAGGATCCTGTCTGACTCCGACAGGACCCCGACCGATCTGATGATCAGTCGCGTCGACCGAAGAGCTTTGAACAGCTGGGAATGAGTCTCACTACGCAAAGCTCGTGAGATCGGCTCACGCGATCTGATAGATCACGTATACGCCGAATTTAAAGTTCAGACCATAAGGGCAAACAGCTATAAGCCATGTGATCGTTTCGTAGTATTTGGAATATAAGTGATATTTTAGACAGGAAACGTAAATAAAATTTGAAGAAATAGACAGGCAGTAAAAATGCATCGCACACACTCGGCAAAATGGATTATGAATTTTCGTTTTAACTTTCAATTTTAACTTTCAAAATGGCTTCATCAAACTTCCTACCATAGAGTGAGAAAAAAATAAAAAAAATTTGGTCACAATTTTCTTATAAGAAGCTCAATCCTGAAGTTTTCTGGAAGAGAGAAAACTAATATTTTAACACAACGATAGAATTCAACTTTCAGAAAAAAAAAGCTCCAAAAAGTTTCAAAAAGATTGAACTTCATGCGAGAAAACAAAGAAATTGTTTCTCGTTTCTTTCCCGTTGCAATCACTCATCACCGTGACTCGTCCAAAATATTCACATTTTCTGCAAAAACGTCGAAAATTCGGCCCACTCCACTCGGAGCTGATGCCACGCTTCGCCGAACATTCGGCCCACGTTGCTCCAGACATCCGTCCTCGCTTTATTATGAACCAAACAACAAGCAAATCCTCGCAGTTTCAATTTATGAGGGGTCGATTTATGGTTGAGTTACCGAAATTTATTAATAAATTGAACTTCAAAAACAGCTTGAAACGTAGAAGGATTTCGCAGAAGGACAGAAGGAAAAGAAGAAAACTCGTTTTTCGATGGAAAGACTCTTTTTCTAAGTATTCGGTTCTTCACCCCTCCATTTTAGGGATTCCTTTCACACTAAATATGATAAAAACCAGATGTCCTTTCTACCGGTTCTAAGCCATCAAGTGATCACTCAAGCGGTTTCCGACAACCAAAAATGACCCGAAGTCGCTCTTACAGGTTCAACGGAGCGCAAATCCTTCGAAAATAAACGGCTATTCCGAAAGATCCATGAAAAACGAAATTTCCGCGTTTCCTGCTTGAATCAAAGACCATGGAAACAAGAAATCGAGATGAAATGAAGAAATGAGAAAAAAAGCTATAAACTTCAAACTTAAAATTAAGGAACATTTAAAAGATCCAAGGCCTATTTTTTGAGTTAAATCACCATATGCTGATTCAAGTTTTCGGGTTTTCAGCCCTCCATTTTTAAGATTCATTTCACACTAATTATGATTAAAAAAACGAGTCCTACCCTATGGTGATTCAAATCAAAAAAAAAATACGAAAATTACCACTTTCATCACTTTTTCCTTGGGAAAACGAGTTTTAAATTTCATAATATCTTATCTTCCAAAAATTTTGTCAAAACTCTTCAGAGAATTGCTTTTGCCCACTAGAAATTTCAAACATTTTTCGCTTTTTCACATAATTTCAAAAAGAAAAAACTTCTACTAATACTTTTCCTGTTAAGATTTTCTAAACCTATCAAATTTATTTTTCGCTTAGACTTCGTTTTTATATGAAAAAAATGTTCTTTTTCTTTTTCATGTTTTTTTTTTCAAACGCACCCCGTAAATCTCCTGATAACCATTGACGAGCTCGGCGGATCTGTGACATTTGAACGTGAAATTGTCCTTGGGATTCGCGGCTTCCGCGTACTGTATCGCAACACGTCCTTCAACATTTTTTTGATCAGTTCAATGGAAATTGAGAATGTGAACGACTATTTATTGAAGGAAATTTTACTTTTTCTCTCTCAATAAAAACAGTTTTTATGCGAGGACTTTGAACCGTTTTTGACGGCTTTTCCGATAAAAATGATCCTATGATAATCTTTGAATCGTTCTCTGAAAGTCGTGGAATAAACTCGACCTTCAATAGTTCCTAATGCAAAACCGCACGGATTCGTGTTGCTCTTGTCTTTGAAAATGGCGATGCATCGGATCTGAAAAGGAACGATAAATATAGTGTGTTACGAGACGGTGAATTTATGGACACAACAGAAAAAAAAACGACCTCAAAAAGATGCAAAACAATACTCTGCTGATAACTTTTTTTGCTTTCAGAGTTCTTTCTTCAACTTTACAGCTGGAGAAAAAAATTCAAAAAAACGTTCAAATAACTATTTTTTTAATGGTCTTTACTCATTTTTTTCAAATAATATATATCCTCCTAAGTATTGATTTTACCATTTTTGAGCAATTTTACTCACGGATACGTTTTTTAAATGTACACTCCAATGAAAAAAACTAGTTTCTTTTCCGTCGACTCATTGAAATTTGGCTCCAAACCTGAAATTTCAACGGACTTTCGATGTTTTTCACCTCCGTTGGGCCGTTTTCCAGGTTGTACACCTGAAAAAACTTCAGTAAAATCATTCTTCAACTTTTTGAAAAGCAACCTTGATATTTTTATTCGCAAGGGCCACGACAGCCATCGGATAAATAACGTCGGCCGCGTAAACTCGTTCGGGTAACTGAAAATAGAGAATCGCCACAACGATTGATAAGTTTTTCAGTCGAACGGAAAAAAATTGTTTTCCGACACTAATTTTCGCTAATACACTCATAAAAATCTCAAAATTCTAACTTCTTTCTTTGATCCGACTTTCAAAAAAATTATAAACTTACGGTTTTTTTTTGAGTTTCCAGTGTAAAATAGAAGTAAAATTCGAATTTGCGGGAACTTCTGAGCAATCCGATAAAGAAATCTTAGATGGAAATATCAATTGAATTATACGGAATAAAAGTTCGAATTGACGGAATTTCGTGCTTTCGATGTCTCTCAAAGATTATAACTGACCAGAAACGCGATGAGAAATGCAATGAATGATATTCAACATTTAATTTAAGGTTTTTTTAGCTTTCCGATTGAGGAATTTCCATTTGAAGTTTTCAGGAATTTCAAATTCGCACGGAAGCAAGATTGGAACCCCGTGCATTTTTTAGAACTTTTTCAGAGAAATAAAGTTACCTCGGAAATTTTATAGAAAGTTTTTCGACAACTCCATATTTCCTCGGAAAATTTCTAGGAAGCTTCTTTTTGACTTTTAGTCAGTCAAAAGTCAACAAAAAAACCAGTAAGTAATATGAAAACTTGTGCAAAATCACTAAAATCTTCCAATTCCGACCTGTATATTTGTCAACGAGTTTTGCGTCGGCAAATTCCGCATGTCCCAAAATCGGAGCGTTTTATCGTAGGATCCGGTCATCAGACACTGATAATTGTTACCTGAAACTCTGAATTCAAAATCTGCACAAAATTCATGGCGAAACATATAACTTTTATGAAATACTCTAATTCCGTCATTATTGAGCCGAGAAACGCGTGAATTTCGATTTCAATCCGTGAAATTTCTGACAATTTTCAGTGGTTTCATTGGACTTTGCCAGGTAAAAGTTTGAGTTTTCAATAGAGAAAGGTTTTTTTCAAATGTTTCCATTTTCTCCTCTTCATTTTGATCATTTTTTCCTACATTATATTTACCATTTATCCAATGGCAAGTTTTCACTGGCCCGTCATGCGTTCCAACCACGGCGACCTTCAAATTTTTCTTCTTAAAGATTCGATTTTTCATCAAAATATACCTGATTCGATGCCAAATCCCACAGTCGGACGTCCTTGTCGGCGGCGGCGATGAAAATCTTTGAACCGTCCTGGAAATTCCTTTCTTCTAATAAAAGGCAGGTTATGTAGGCAAGGATTGTGAGTTGTTTCGGGCTTATTCTTGTGAAAAACGCTCTTAAAGTGAGTTTTTTTTTTTTGGGAAACTATCCCTTTCAGATGGAATCTTGGATCTTTCATCTTAAAATGAGAGATAAATGACTTTTTTTGATGCATGTAACGATTTTTGCGCTATTTTATGAATAAAACTATTGAAAAAAGATCAATTTGTAGCCTGTCTGCACTCTCCACCAACCAGGCACTATCTCCTTTATTACCGTCTTAGGACCCACTTCTCAATGGCTCAAGCCAGCTCAATAAATTTTTCTTTTGTGAAAGAAGAAATAAAAACAATCAAATCCTTCCCGAAACGTTTATTATCACAGGCGAATCGGGAAGGTAAGGTGTCCACAAAGGTAGCTCTCAAAATGGATCTTGAAGACCCCATAATGTGTCCATCTTGAGATCTCCGGCATACCTTTTAGCTATATCTGAGCCATATTGGAGGTACTTCAGAGTCGACATCGAGTCTATCTCATTTTTCTCAAAGTCCACAGAGATATACTCGAGGTGCCATCGATAGACTTCAAAGCCCGCGATATACCTTAGAGGGTCTCGCGATACCTTTCCTCGATTCGCGACTTCTAGACTTTTTCAGTTGTATTATGTCATACAGACCAATTTTAAAAGTTCCCTTCAATTTCCCAGCTCATTTTTTGTTTGTTTTTCCCCTCGTAAATTTTTCAAATTATCGAGTATGAGATTAATGTAAATCCCTCCAACAAAGTGATCTGTGAGCTTTTCGTGAAAGAATCTTAGAATCAGAGCTCATAAGAAGATTCTACTCTAATAAATATGGCAAATGGATTGACGAGCCACCTCGGTCCAGGCCAAATCCAATACCGGCGCCGGAATATTTTGCTGCGCCTTGCCGTCGCTCTGCCCGTTGTCGTTGATCATCCAAACTCGAACAACCTTCAAAATGAAAAAGAAATTTTAAAAATAGGCCAGTTTTCTTTGGTTCTAACTTCGCTCCAAAAGGTCAGAATCTACTGAAACTCTTTCAAGAGTCGAAAAAGACTCAATAGAACCTTTTCTGTTAAGATGACAAAGACTTTGCTGCCTTTGTTCGGCATTCCATAGGCTTTCATGCACCATTTTTGCTGCATTTCTTTTTGAGCCTTTGAAATGCTAGAAAAAAATTAATAAGAAATGTTGCTATCGAAATTTGAAAAGAACGAAAAATTAGTTATTTTCCGAAAAGAACGAACACCATCCCAGCTTCCAGCTGCTAACAACGGCTTCTCCGTTGTAGAAGGACTGAATCTGAGCACCTGTACTGTATCATCTGGAGCTCCTTCTACCTGGAAAGAGGGAAATTTCAATACTTCCAATGAGAGTAATTAAAATTGAAACTGAAACAAAATCAAAAAATTTTCTTACTGCCTTCAACTCCGTACAAAAACCATGAAATCTTTTCGCCTTGATCAAAACCTCATTTTATTCAGAGAACTAATGGATTGAACTTATTCCGGTCGACTCCGTCAAAACTTCCTTAAAGGAAAACATAAAAATATACAAGTCCTCAGAACTTTCTTTTCACCTAGCAGCGTCAGTTGATCACGGACAACGCCCAAAGTATCTTTAAAGTAGCTTTTTTTCTGAAAAGATAATGTTCCAAAAAAGTGCAAGCTCAAGCGTTTCTTTTCACTGCTTTTTTTCGGATAAGACTTTTTAACGATATAAGACGCAATTTTTTCGAAATATTTTTAGGAACATTTAAATAAATTTTTGCATTTATTCTCTATGTTAGAAAGGCGAGCACTTCCTCTTACTTCAATATTGACAGAAAAAATTTTTTTTTCTTCTTGTTAATATGTGCCTTCATTACACACTTCCCCCGTGATACGACATAGCGGCCGCGCACCTCCAGGGCCACGAGATTCTCGCGTGGCGCAGTGGATAGGAGTCAAGCGTGTCGATGAGCGCTGCGCGCGTTCGACTCCCCTCCACGCCCAGCCTATGATGAAAAACTATGCACCACGCCTAAGTATACTGTGGACCACACTCTTAACCATTTCTGAGGCTTTTTTTGCAATCTTTTTGGACAAACTAACCAAGATATCGTCTGGAGTACTGGAAGTAGCGACCGGCGTCGACGACATGGAGGTCGTCGAACCGAATAACGGTTTCGAATTAAAATTGGATGACCCGCCAAACATAACTTAAGAGGAAAAAAAAGTCAAAAATTTAAACCCATTAGTAAAAATATAAAAAGTCGGCTTCGAAAATACCGTTCTAAAATGAATAAATCACAACAAGAATTTGTTTATTTGCAGTAGAGAAAAAAAATAAATCACAGAAAACATCGTGGAGAGATCGCATAATCATCATTCATCGGGAATAGAAGTACAAATGAATTGAGTATTGAGAGGAATGTTCGTTGAAACGAGTGGGACGAAGGAAAATATCATGAAAATCCTAGAAATTCGATCTTGAGATGGTTAAAAAAAAACTGATATTTAGTGAACTTATTTTAGATCCGTGAACTGATCGAGCTGTTGGGATGGATTAAAAAGATAGGAAAAATTAAGATTATTACTGAAAAAAACATTATGAAAAAAAAATTTTTTTCATTACTGAGCTTAAAAAAACTTGTTGAAAAAAATCTGATAAAAAAAGCTCAACTCCGCCTTTCAATCATGAAATTTGTACCATCGAAAAGCTGGCCTTTATAGAGAAAAAAGAAATGAGTGCAAAATTTTCGGTTTAAGAAGCCTATATATTTTTTTCATTGATTGAACCCAAACATTTTTTGATTTAAAACTCCAAAAAGAACACTTTTAAGGTTGATATCGACATAAAACTGAAGTTTTTGAAGTATTTGAAACGAAGGCTAAACATTAAAAAAAACAATACAATGAAATTCACAACCAGTTTTTTTCTCTCATATAAATTCAGCTTTATGAAATTTCCGAAACTTCGCCTTCAAATTTGAAAAAATATTGAAAAGATGCTCAATTAGCCTCAGATCTCCGTTCTTCGTAATTTTCTCTCATTTTTTCTCCTAAAACTATCGCGATTTCCAGACGAATCCCACCACGACGGCGGAAAAAACAGCCGCGACAGCAAATGCGCCCCAAAGACGGCCAGAAAATGGTCGGATCGATTTCTCGGCTCGACGGCTTTTCTCAACCATCCGCTCGATCATTTCCTTTCTACAAGATCAGAACAAACCAATAAAAAAGACACTCGAAATCAATGGGAAAAATTATGATATTAAAAATAAAGCTCTTTTTCATTCTCTGCACAAAAAATGAGTACAAAACCGGAAGCCCCAAAAATTATGATATTAAATATTTTTTTTCTCAAAAAACCGCTCTACCTAAGCTTCAGGCGTTGTACTCAATTTTCATTAGGTTGACTTAGACTCGACGAAAAAATCTACAAAAAGGTACATAAGAATCTATCATTCATAATAAAGTAATCTGTTCAAGTAGATGTGGGTAAAACGTTTGATATTTGATGGAAAAAAAGAAAATGAATAAAAATCAGGCCAGAAGCTCAGGTAGAACTCTCGCGCGACAATTAGGGCGATTCCGATCTAAAAAGAATTTTTGTTTGAGCTTAATTTTTATTATATTCGATTCATAAAAAGAAGGGGTAAATTTTTTTAAAGGCTCATTTTTTTGTTTTTCAAGAAATGGTTTCAAGGCGAAAAAGTAGTTTTTTTAGTTTAATTTCTGACCTTGCAAGGCTTCTGCGCCATTGAAAATCACAAATAAATGATAAAAAAATGTTTTTTTAAACCTATCGTTCGTCCAAAAATTTTTATTTAAACGCAAAGTTATTTGCCAATGGATTTATTTAAAAAAATTTTAAGAAACTTTTTCCCAATGGTGAAAAATTAGAATTTAAGATTTAAAAAAAGGTAAAAAAAGTTTTATTAACCTCGAAAAAGTAGCAGAAGCCAAAAAAAAGTGGTTTTCTTCCTCTAATTTGAGAAAAACGTTGATACTCTCCGATCATCCTTCTTTTTAAGGATTTCATCGAACCAACCTTTTTCTTTTGATTTGCGAGACATCGTCGATACTCGAGCTCTTCTCTCCCAATGGACAGTGCGTTTCGGAGACTTCTGCCGAAAGAAGTCGGGTTTTCTCGCCGACGGCGCGCAGAGTTTGGCTTTTGCTCTTGCCGACCCGTGGCGACTCCGACTAAAAAATAACCAGACCATGAAAAATATAATTAATCAAAATATGTATTTATTCAGAAGCTTAAGAACTAGAAGTTGTCGCTTTAACTACAAAATAATAAATTTCAAAGGAAAAACTTTAATATTCAAAGTTTCCACCCAAAAGTCTCACTTATTTTAACAAAGTTCAGGTAAAAATCCCTTGTTCCAAAATTTATGGCATGTTTTCTTTCACATGAATTTGAGTTTGGGGCGAGAAAAAGCACACTGAGCCGTGAAAAGTGAATTAATTTTTATCTCGAGCTCGGATTTTATGACCAAAAGCTCAAAAACAGTTGAACCGGAGCATTTTTTTAAAAAAATTTATAATCTCAACTTGATTGAAGCGTTTTTCAAAAAAAGTAGTCATTTATTTTTTTGAAAAAAACTTTGAAATAAGAAAAACCAAAAAAAGCCGAACAATAAACTCAAATAATGATTAAAAAAACCATTAAAACAAGTCCACAAAAAAATAAAAAAATAAACGTTTTTTTAATCATTTATTAAGAAAGTAACAGCAAATACTTTTTATTTCCTTCCTACGGAAATGCGAAAAATTTACGATTTTTTTCGTAAGTTATCTAATAGTTTAAAAAAACAAACCCCTTCTTCCGAACTGATGAGAGTGACATCAGCCGGCTGCAAAAAAACCATTATCAAATAAAAAATTTGCGCGAGAAACATACAAAATCTTCCTTGGTGTGGACTACGGGCTCGGGATAATTCAAAAACCATCGGAAGCCTTCGAGAACGGCAAGGTACGCGAATCGCAGCTGTTGTGGCGTTTGGATCAGGCCCGGTCGGTATCTGAGAACAAATTTATGATAAAACACTTTTTAAATTCATATGAAATGAGTTTTTTTCAACTCATGGACTGGACCTTTAAAAAAATTATTTATTGCAAAATAATAAACTGATGAGATGAATTTCAAAAAGCTTCAGATTGCACTTGAAATTTATATTTTTCTTCCAAACTTCCTGCTCATAATTATCAGTTCTTTTGCCGCTGCCTTAGACGATATTTCATTTTAAAAAAAGGCATGAGATCCTCCAAAACTTTCTCAATGTACAGTATTAAAAAATCTGTATTTTCACAGCTAGAGTTGATTTTTTGAAAATGAGTTAATTTCAAATGATGAATATTTCTAAAAATTTATTAGAATTTCAAATTTTTCGTAATATTTCCTTATTTTTCTTCTTCGCATCGATTCTTGTTTTTCATTTATTCTTCTTTTTCTCGCACCTTCTCAAGAACAAGAGCAACTCAACGAGGTCCATGCGATCGATCGGAATGTTGGCCGAGATCTGAAAAACCTCAAAACTAACTGATTTCCTTGCTCAAAACCATTCTCAGAACGACGTCGACAATGTAGAAAGTTCCAGTTCTACCGATTCCAGCCGAACAATGGACGACCGTAGGAGAACCTTCACAAGAGCTCGTCATCGCATCAAGTCCTCAAAAAATAAATATTTTCAACTTCTTCTTTTTTTTTTGAACTCTGGAACCTCTTCCTCATTCTTTAATCACGGAATTTATTCCTCATCGGAAAATTTTTTTACTACTGTTTTTTGCTTTCTGATCTATTTCTGTATCCTTGTGAAAAACTATATTAAATTTGAAAAATAGCAAGAAACTCCTGTAGAAAAAAATTATACAAGCTTTTACATTATCAAGTCCGAGAAGTTCTAAAAAAATTTTTCAATCTACAAACTATCTTTTTTTCAACTTAAGAAAATAAAAAATGCAAAAAAAGAGTTCTCACTTCGAACGTAAAAAAGCAGGGCGAGCATGGATCTCGGACTTCTCGGCACCTCAAAATCGCCCCAAGACGTGAAATTCACATGTTCAACAATTTTGGCGTCGTCTTCTTCGCCTCCTGAAAATTAGGTATGTGTAAACAACATCAATTTCATTAAAAATCCGCGAAATATTACAATTGTGACTTTGATAAATACCTAACCAAAAAGTCATTACAAGTTGTTTTCTTTTATTGGTGTTAAAGCCCAAAATTCACGGATTAACAGTTCAGAGTTGAAAAAGGTCTTACAAAAGTGAGGTTGCTTGGACTTTGATTTTATTTTACCAATTCAGGGTTAGCTTGAGACGTGGCCTGTCTGCGCCCACCTCCAAACAAACACTCTCTCTCTTTTCTCGTGTCAGGACCCTTTTCCAATCGCCCAAGTCACCCGCTAATCGACTATAGTTTTCCGGGTATTGGATCATGTTTTGAGTACGTTTACTTTTGATTAACCATATTAACTTTTTTTTCGTCAATTCTTCTCGAATTTCTCTCAAATCCCAACCTTTTTCCTTCAACTTGAGGGTTCGATGTACATAATCCGTCGCGGTTCTTTCACTTTCCGTCGTTATTTCGAACGCGCCGAAAGAAATGGTTCCATTGACGGTGCGTGGAAAATAGGAGAAAATCCTAGAATATTTCATACATTTTTTTAATGATACCATTCCTTCAATTGATGATTAAAATAAGTTCAAAAATATAAAAAAATTTAAAAAAATGGCTGGAACTGTAAAAAGGTTAGAAATGATTATTTTTTTCAACTTTTATCGTTTTTAATCTGGGTTTTGCTATGAAAAATCATCATGAAGATAAATGATCCTTAAAAAAAGGGTTAAATGAAGAGGTTGGGCCATCTCCGGTCACATATCTTAAGATTATGACTTTAAAAAACTACCCTTACATTGAACGCTTATACTTTCAAAAAAACAAAAAAATAACAATAATAAATTAGTGAATTATTAACGTGAATGATTTATTCTCATTAAGAATCGCTCATTCTTTTTTTCAAGTATTTTTTTTCCTAACAAAAAAATGAAATACTTTAGTTTATATTTTAGCTGAACTTTTGAAGCTATTATGTCTTTTTCGTCATCAGCTGATATATATAGCTGAATTTTGGAGAGACAGAGATAACTTTTGAATTAGGCGGAAAGTATTTAAGCTACCACTCGCCGTCCTTACAGAAAAAAAATTGACCAGAGTAACTAAAAATAAAAATCTCACTGATCATGGGATCCGCTCTGATTCAACTGAATGATCAGTGAAACCGATTTGTCCCACATCATCTGCCACCAATCAGTGACCGACCCCTCAACCGGTCCCTGCAAAATTTGACTTCTCAAAGGATCAGGAAAGTTGTTTCGAAAGAGAACCTGGGCCAAAATATAGTTGGTTCTGGATGGTTCATATCTGGCCGGCGAGGCGTTCACGTAGCCGTCAATGTTGCTGGCCGATCGCGAAATGATCACTCGATTTTGATCATCTGTAGAAAGAAGAACATGGTTTGACGAACATTATGATCGAATCGATTGTTGCGATTATTTCAAAGGAGCATGTATTCTTGGAACTAGAAACTTCCAAAGCGAAAGCCTGTTTCCTTGTCATTCGAAATCAAGAGAATTAATGCGTTTTTAAAATGCCACGGAATTTTTTTTAAAACCGTAATTTAAAGCACTGCTTGCCGCCTTGATAAAAAAAAAATCGGCGGATATTTAAAATTCACAAAGTATTTCGAAACGAAGAGCCATTTCTCTTGGTTACAGAAGCAGTGCGTCAAACTCATTTTCATTGAAATAATCTTGCCGGTATTTTATTGGCGTGTTCATCGGAGAAACGGAACATCCTTCAAAACGAAAAATCGTGTTCATTGGCGCGCCAAAGTTGCTCCAAAACCGTACTACTTTTTATTTTGGAGCAATTTTTTCGCGTTTCGAAGCAGTTTTCGTTTTTTCCGATGAACACGCCATAAAGGCGCACAAATTTTGCATCACGTTCGGAAACACTGATACAGCTTTCTTGAAATTTTCTGGTTTCAAGAACCCGTGCTCCTTCAAAAACTTCCGAAATAATCTTTAACAATGTTTATTCTAAAACCTGTAATTTAAACAGAAAAAAATTTCATTGTGAACTTTCGGGTTCGAAAGATCGAAGTCAGAGCTTCTAGGCTTCGAAATTCCTTGCTGGACTTTCGAATTTTCCGGAAAAAAAGTTTTATAAAGCCAAAATTAACACTGAAAACGTCTCTTTTCTTTAGAATTTTCATGAAACTGCTCTTGCACCTTCAAAAACCCCCGCAAGGAGTTTCTAACAAATTAAAAGCTTTTTCGAAAATTTCACGTCAAAACCAACATGGAATAACGTTAGTGTAGCGATTGCGCATCGCGTTTCGCTCGTTCAGGCCCACCGAAAACTTGTATTTCAACTCTTTCATCTGCTTCTCCGATTGAGTCATCACTCGCTGAAAAATACTCATTATTCATTGTTGAAACAGAAGATAGAGCACCGATAGAACTGGGTTCCACCCAGTCCTTTCCAACGCCTCGTAACCATTTTTGATTTTGGTGAAAGCGCTTTTTACATATTCTTTGTCGGTGCTCATTTACTTGAGAGGAGCCCTGAAAAAGTCGAAAATTTGCAAATTTTCACAAGGGAGACGATGAATAAATTTTATTAGGCAAACAAAAGTTTTGTTTGAATATAATAAACAGAATATTCTTTCCTGAATTCCTCACCGCTGTGCTTAAAGGATCAGAGAAGAATTAAATAACGACTTCGAGACGAAGAGCCGTTCAAGCGGAAGTTCTGAGCCTTTTAAAAACCAAGGACGGATTTACGGACAGAATATATATTCGAAAAATCATCTTCGAACAAAGAAATTCAATGAAGCAGTCTTCAAGCAGAAAAAAAACAAATTTTTTCCACATTGAAAATGGGTCTCACTGCACTTTTTCAACATCAAACTTACCTCCTTCCATTTCGTGGCCCTAAAATCCACAATCTACTTTCAAAACCGTTAAAATAACTGAAAAATAGGCAAAACTAATCATAATACGGAAAAAAAAAAACCGGGCGCGGGATTTTTGAAAAAGTATCAACTGGAGCATACTTGCCTGGTGGTTGCTTAGCGACGAAAACTTTCAATAAAAAAATCCCATTTGAAAGACTTTATTGATGCCGTGTTCAAAGTAATTTCCGCGAAATGCAAAATGGTCTCTGACCCTCCAAAATTTAGTTATCTTTCTCTTTCTCTGACAGCTATTTTGAATTTCGCGGAATCACTTTGAACACGGCATGAGCATAAAAATTACGAAATTCGTGATTAATCAATCTTTTTGCGCAAGCTCTTTCTGATCGTTGACATCTCAGACTTTGGAGTGTCAGCCTTCGCTGCTTCGATGATTTTCGTGTCGAGGAACATTCCCTGAAATGAAACACTTCGTTTTTCTATTCAATAAAAGCTTACAGCGGACAACTCCTCGCGTTTCGTCTCTTCAAACGACTTGGAATTGCTCGGTCCGAGTAAAAGGCCGAGGAAAAGACCGCGCTTTTTGCGGTCAAAGTTTCCAACTGAAACAAAAAAGCTATTCAAAGAATATAAGGAAATTCCGTGTATTTTCTCGAAATATCCAGGATTCAGTCAATTTTTCCCCGAAAAAAAAAAACGAAAAAGCTCAGGAAAATTAATTGACAATTTCCAGAACCAATTGTAAATTGACAATTGGAAAAGAAAAAGGAAAACGGCGAACATTTGTCTTCGGGTCCGTCACCAAACGATTTGTGCTTGGGGTAGGTGAACAAAACGCGGAACCAATTAATCCCGTGCTTCTGCTTCTCGGCCTCGGCTTTCCATTCTGTTCGAATAATTCAAATAATTAATCAAAGAATCTTCTCCATTTTTAAAAACTGTTCGGAGAATCGATCTTTCGATTCATAAAATCATTGAAAAACTTGGTGCCAGTTTTCGAATAAAATGGCTTTTTTTTTTGAAGTACGTCAACTATTTTTTTGAAATTTTTCCCTTTTGAAAATTAAATTTTATCTTTTTTTAACGTCAAAGTAGTTATTTAATCTCAAGGTATAATTATCATAAAATTAGCTTGGTTCAACTTCTAAATCTTGCTACAAAAAAAAATTATGTTCAAAGTCACGAAACCTTCATATTTCTGCGTCCAGGTCCTCGGCAAGTACTGCGGCGAAACCAAAATCTCGTTCATAATCGCAGCTTTGAGCTTAGAATTCAAGGTAATCATGTCGAATTTCTCGAATTTCCAACTTTATCACGTCGTTTCATCAGAGCCTTGGTCTCATCGTCGACCTCCATCTTGTTCTTCTGCAGAGCGTCGATCGTCTTGTCCAGCGCCACGTCCAGGACGTTCAAAACCTTTGAAATGTCTCAGAATTATCATGAAATACTTCAAATTCTACAGCTTGAATTCTCATGGTCGCCCTGGGGATGGCAAAAAACTTAGTGAAAAAAAAAATACAAACTTCAAGAAACTTCAGGAGAACGGCTCAAAGTTTTGAGAATAAAGTTTTGCACAAAGCTGCCGAAGGAGCGGCAGCGGGCGACCCGTTATTTGAAGCAATCGCCCCGGGGTCACCTGACCCGCACAGTTAAAAATAAGTGAAAATTTAGGGCATATTACAGGGTACTTTGAGCCATTCCCTGTGCAACCACACTTCACACTTTCTAGAACATGACAAAACCTGTTGATTGAGCGGCATCCGACCCGAGAAAAACTTGGCCAACACTTCATTATCGTCTTTGGTCAGGCACTCGTCGAGGATTTTCAACTTCTTTGCCAACTTCAACAATTTTCGGGCCAGGTCGATGGTGGCTTTCTGAAAATCCCTACATTTTTTTCAAATATAGGGTCAAAGAATAACTCAGTAGTTTCAAGCAGCTGAAGCTTGAAAAATTTTACCTTTGAGCTCAAAAAAACGACGAACAGAAAATTTTCTGGGGACAGTTTCAAGCGAGGCGAAAAAAAAAAATACTTTTTTTTTGGAAAACGTTTGAAATTTGGAAAATCGGAAAAAAAAAGTCCTGAGCGGAACTTTTCGATAGAGGTTTCAACGCCGTCTCCAATTAATAGAACCAAAAAAATCGTTCAAATTTCTTACCTCATCCTGTGCGCATTGCATCTTCATGATTCGTTCCATATCGTCTTCCTGAAATGGAAATTCATTGTATTATTCTCATTATTCATCTTTTAGGATTTCTTCTTTTGGAAATCGGTATAAATCTTTTGAATGAAAAAGAGATCAAACACGATCTGAAGAGACACCAGAGAAACTATAAAACTTTCACTGTCTGGCATCTCTTCCACCGGTCTCTGATCTCCCACATGATACATTTTTTTACCTATTCCGAGCAAGCTTTTCATGAGTTTTATGTCCGTTAAGGTGAGGAACAAATCCCTTCAATGCGAGTGGTTTCCTTATCTGCATGTGCCTTTAATATAACGGGAATTATGGGTTAAACTAAAGGCACATGTGCAGGGACAGGTAGGGCTCTTCGAAGGGAATGGCTCTGTAGCTCGAGGAAAACAAAATCGGGACAAGCTGGCGCGTCGGAATGGGCTATAGCATCATTATCAGCAATCAAAAGTGAAACCATACATCGATCTTCTCGAAGACGTCGGTCTGCTTCTCCATCGAGGGCACGGAAACCGGCGACATCTTCAAGCTCATCAACGACGTGTCGTCGGGCGGCGAGATCGTCGGCGGCCCCAGAGGCGCCGTCATCGTCGAAGTCGGCGTTGTCGTCACGACGTCAGGAGCCTTGACATTTTCCGACGGCTCCACCTTCTCCTTTGAAGACGTCGTTTCTGACGAGGCCTTTTCGGAGGCTTCAGGAGCGGTTAGCTTCTTTTTCGAAGCATCCGACTCCGAGCTTCCCTTCTCAGAATCGCTCAAAACTGCCGGTTTGGGTTCGGCTTGAGGCTCTGGTGGGGCCTGAGAAAAGTTTTTCAATTGATAGTTTTTCTTTTTGTGCGACTCAGAACAGTCAAATTTTTCTCTACCTCTTTTCCTCTCTCCGGCAAGATCATCAGAACAACAATAACATGAAAAGGGCGAACTTTTCCGAAATATTGAACAATTTTATTCCCAATTCAGAAAATCGAAAATCAATCGTAACCGCTACTTTTATCATTCAAAAATAAGCGTGGTCGGAAAATTTTGGTCGCACTGAGAATGGCTCAGAGCCAAAAAACGGCCTGCTTGACTCATAAATTGGAGGATTTGCAGTGAAATTACCGATCCGCCGTGCGACCGCAAAAACTTATTAAGTCATTCCAAATGCGACCAAATCTTGAAAAAAACTGAACCTTCGACTTTGACTTTTTTTCTGTTTATCCAGATCGGTCTGAAAAAAAGATTCATTTTTTTCCTATCTTGTTTCTCTTTCACCTCAGATCCCGTTGCAGGAATGGTTGGCTCCTTTGGCGCCTTCTTTTTCGGTTTGCTCTGGAAATCATCCAAGTGGCCACTTGAGAGCAGTCCAAAAATGCCCAACAAAAAAAAAACCTACATTGGAATCAGAGACCTGATGATCACTACCCGTTGCTTTTGGGGCTTTCTTTTCCTTCTGAAAATTATTCGATGAAAACTCCTAAATTCCTTAAATGACCACTAGACCTTTCTCCTGCCAGCGTGCTTCCAACGGAGCGGCCTCGATTGATCCTTCACCACAAAAGGGTTTATGTGAGCCGAGATTCGCTCAATTATCGACGATTCCTGTTCTGGATCATCGGCAACCACGAAAATACTGAAAATTGAGAGCTTTGAAGTTTTTTGTTCAAAAAATGATTGCGATCAGAACTTTCTAAGAGATGAATACGAAATAAATCAAAGTGAAGGCTCCAAGTTTTGACAATGATACACCGCTGGATTACCTATAACCAGGCCTGTGCGAGGGCGGGCATTCAGAAATTTCAACCTATCAGCCCGGTTCAAGCCCGACACCGCCCGGCCTTAGAGAGACCTCGCGCGAAAATACCCGGCCTAAAAGGCGGAGTTTCTTCAAGTCAAATAAAAGTCCTTTTTAACGACAAAACGTTTTTGGTTCTTTTTTCCCTTCAATTTCAAAAGAAACTATCATTTGAAATGTAAAGTATGCTTCTCGGTGAAAACGTATTATAGGATAAAAAACTTTTTAGAGGCCTTTAAAAACTTCATTCGAAGCCCGAGCTGGCCCAAGCCCGCGCCGGCTTCTTCGCAAAAAATGGCCCAAAGACCAGGCCGCGCAGCCTGACGCGCAAGCCTGTCCATGATGAACCAAATTATTAAAAAAATGAAATTGACCATTATTCGTTTGACTGACTCTAAACTTTGAAAGGTTTTACCAAATAAATTTAAATTTGAAGTCATTTTTTTCAGATAATGTACTTTAAGTTTTTTTATTTTTCGAATCCAGAAAAAAAGGTGAAATGGCGGATTCGTTATTATACAACACGAATAAATTCCAAAAATTTAATTGTTTTCTAAAAATTTGTAGAGCTTTTTTTCAACATATAACTGTTCAACATCAGGTCAAAGAAAATTAATTCTTCGTGTTAATCAAAAACTCAAAAAAATAATCATAAAACGTTTCTCCACAAGTAAATCATCCATGCTCCTTTAAAATCTGACAATTTTTGAACAGACTATTTTTCTCAAACCAACTTTCTCCGCCGCATTTCTGCTCTTCGCTCTTCCTTTGTCATATTTTTCGGTTTGCTTGGAACATCCTCAAAAATTCAAATCAAAAAATCACTTTTATTTACAAACTTTGTTTCTCTTTTCCAGAAACTCATTGTACTCGTTTTTGACCACATCGGCGGTCACCTTCTTGCCTGAAATTATCAAGATTTTAGGCCTTCTGAAGTATTTTTTAAGTCCCTTTTTGAGATTATGAAAGGAGCATCTACCAATATTAAAAAGGTCTCGAGACGAAGTGCCGTTTTAAAGAGTTATTAAGGCAGGTCCGGGCCTTAAAAACCAGGATTTTCGCACAGATCAAATCAGAAATAGCCAGTTATCATCAGCAATATGAAAGAGTACCTATTCCGCTACCGAGCATGATGAGAAATGAGTCATTTTCCATTCTACGTGCGCTTTTTATTCATTATTCGTCATTTTTCGAGCTTTTCTTCCCAAATCAATTCAGAAGAACGTGGAAAACGAGGCGAATCTTTTTGATGGATCGTGTGAGATTTTCTTGGGAGAAAATGAATGACGGGAATTATTTGATGGCAGCCAAGGAAAAAAAAAAAGTTTCGATCTTTTTCGAGTAATCCACCACTTGATTGATCGCTTTTGCTGGCAGTTTTGGGTATCAAAAAGAGATGAATTTCCTTTGGTTTTTTTTGAAACCAGCACTTGTCAAGAAAATGAACGAATTTTAGATCATTGAAGATAAATATTTTAAGAATTGAACTGCAAGAGATTATTCAAAAAGTATTTTTGAGTCCGCATAAAAACACCTAGAAAGATTATATTCATAAAAAAATGAGCGACTACGGTAGATTATCTTCATAAAAATGTTCCACAACCTGATTTTAAAAAAAATCACAGGCTCTTGAAGTATTGTGAAAAAAAAAAATGAAATTTGATTCAATGCAAATGCTTTGAGTTTACGAAAAAGTTCATTTTCCTTCAACTCAATCACTTTCTTGTTTGAAATTTCGCGTGAAACCGGGAAAAAACTGAAAAAAAATCTCTCTATAGAAGCCACAATTTTGCGTCTAAGTAGCCACTAAAAATTTTCTCAGATTTTGTCGATTTCAAATCGAGAAAGCTCCAAGAGAATACTAAAGAAAGCTTCAAAGGAACAAAAAAAAATTTTGACGAAATATTTCCGATCTGATCTTTTTTTTAATGTGAACTCTGATGTCCTGGGCTCAAGCTTTCAACCTGTATGCCAATAGACCAATGGAACACCTCCAAGTGACCACTTGAGCAGCCAGAAACACCGAGTGCGCGACTCGGCATCCGGAAGCCGGACCCCATCGTAATCCATTTGACAGATGAGTCGGACGTTCCCCGCTCCGACTCCGTGTTGGTCCATTTTAGGTCTCTTCTAACAATAGGCGGAGCCGAAACGCGTTTCGGCTGCTCCCAGAGCGGCGTTGGGCCGTCGTGATTTATCAACAACATTAATAATCTCCGGCCTTTCCCCAAAACCGAGACTTTCCTTGTCTTCTTCTCCTTTTTCTTTCAATCTTATTGGACTTTTTTTTCGAAGGGTACTGTAGTATCACTTTTTTTAAGACTTGAACCGCATATTCACAAAAGTAGTGGTATTCGGTTCTCCATCAAAACCAAATATTCACTTGTTTTTGTTTCTTTCCCTTGTTCTCAATTATTCAGGCAATATTGCGCCATAATCTACTTGAGAGCGCCAGAGTGGTCCCTCTAGGGTCAACCTCAAGGGCGTTTGTAGGTTTCCCTCTGGGGACTACTTTACCTCCTCCTATCAGGGCTCTAACGCTTGCAAGAGGATCCCCTATAGGGGTTTTATTAGTGATCCCAAAAATGAACATGACAGTCGATTTTGTTATGAACTCTATAAGAAGAAACATTTCCATCCGAAAAACTCAAAAAAGTAGCGTTATTTGAATGAAAATTAGCTTTAGGGGCTATGAGGTGTGACCCTAAATGCCTATAGGCTATAGGGACCACATAAGTTTTACTTCTATATGAAGCAATTTTCGTCGCCCGCAAGGGCTGTTTTCTCCTCTGACCCCTATATAGATTTTTTCGTCAATCTTGTAAAAAATTTTTTGAAGGGTTTTGTAGAACCCTGCTTTTTTTGAGGTTTCAGCTTTTCCCAATCTTGCATGATTATCACGATGAGTCGATTTGTGTAATGTATCTATGAAAAGCCCTCAAGTCGTAAGGCGAAAAATGTGCAGTGAAATTGGAAATTCGATCCCGTCCGCTGCTCACCTTTTTGTTTATCGGTTATCACATATCGTCGCTTCCAGAGATCCTCTATCTTATTTATAGCCTCTTCCGATATTTGTTATCTTTGTTGATTCATTGTTTAAAAAAAGGTCTTTTTTTTTCAAAAATCGCTTGAAAGCCAAAAAATCTTCAGGCGAATCCACCTCCAAGGGCCTCCGTGTTTATTTTTATAACAAGAGATAATTCAATTTTACGCCTTTTTGAACTGGAACTTGTGGAATATGTATTTTTTTGTTTTTTTAGAACGGTTTCAAGATCAAAAATTTTTGAATAAAAATAGTATCTTACTTTTGCAAATTTATAAGAACGGTTCAGAAAAACTATGAAAAAAACAATGTATAATGTTTTTTTCTTCCCCGATAAAATCCATTATACAACTTCAAAAAAATGAAAATAACTGCACGATTCGTACAAGTTTTTATTGGCTTTTTTTGAGGAAAAAAATTTGCAAGAAAAAGAGAAATTTCGTGAGCGAAAAACTATAAAACTTCTCATTATCTAAATTTTTTTCATAATAGCCCTTATTCCTCATATTATGTTGTAGGAAGTTTGGCCACAAGTCTTTTGATCCCAATGAAACTAGGTCTTCTAGAATAAAAAATCTATTTTAATTGAGCAGGTTTAATTAAATATAATCCTAATTTTCATCGATGTCTGCACACTTTAGTCAAATTAAAGATTTTTTTCAAAATGTGTAGTGTTTGCAGAAGATTGAAGTGTTAGTGGTCACTTTAGAGGAAAAATCAAAGCCATGGTGATCGTGAAACTTTAAGTAATTACTTAAGGAATTTGATTTCAGGTTTAAGAGAAGCTAGTGACCTTTTAGAGGTTCAAATAAAATTCAAAATTCGAAATGAATATTACAGAAGTCATAACGAGCTCCTGGAATAAGAATTTAAAGTGACTACTTCAGTAGTTAACAGGTTTTAGAGCTGTTACCTTCCGTTGTAGGGTACCGAAAAAGTTTTTAACATTGGTATTTATTTTCATAATCTGGTCAGAATAAAGTCTTATAAGCTCTCTAAAGCTTCGAAAAGACCGCTTTAGTAATTAAAATAGAGCTCGTATGCTGTAACACTTTTTTCAACACAAGGAGGCCAATAAAACATGTTTTTTTATTATTTAAGAGAAGTACCACTAGTGGGCTAGTCCTCAAGTGATCACTATGAATCGTCGCAAACTCAGAAAAACTCCAGCCTACAGTACCCCAAAAGATGAAAAAAATTATACCTTCCTCATGTGAGAAAAGAATGGAAATATTGTTTGCGTGGCCTCGAATCGAAATCGAAACCAAAACGAAACTTGGCTTGAAAAGAAGAGAGTTGAATTTGGGGAAGATTGCGGCTCATATGATAAATTGCATCTGTGGTATGGGGAGGAAAGGGTCGCCTCCAGCTTATATCCATTCGTTTGTTCCTCCCCACTCATTCTTTTCCGCGCCTCCCCCGACGTCAGTCCAGAAGAACTGCCTCTTTTTCCTCGATCATTTTCCTTATTTACAGCTCGAAGTTTGACCCCTCCCTTGGTTTTATCACAAAGCTCTTCTTGTTTTAAAAAAAGGAGAAATAATTTCTATTTATGATTTCAACTCGAAAAAAAGGATATTTTCAAAGTTTTGAGGTAAATAAAAAATCGAATTTAAAAACTCACATCAGGTCCTTTTATACGACTGGAACACAATATGACAGAAACTTATACCAATTGCACGCATGATGTTGATCGGTGACTGAAACTTCTTGGATGAATTGCCAGAGTTGAGCGAAAGTTCAAACAACAACAAAAAAAAACAAATATTTTTTAAATGAGCCAAAAACATTATACGAACAGGTGAAGGACCTTACTAAGTTAATATGTGACAAAAACAATAATTTATAGTACTATTAGAAGAAAAAAAAAACAAAGGAAAACAAAATTTTCTTTGAAAGGAAAAATTGTATTTACACTGATTGCGTCGATGTGCCGTTTGAAAAGCATCTTTTTCAATGTAAGGGCGGAGATTCAAAAAGAAAAATCTGTTAAAGTTCGGTTCCAAATTTCCTTGTACGTACAATAATTTGTCGGAGGCCAAACAACTCGTTTCGATTCGGAAAAAGAAGTGTGGTGGTGCGCATTAAATGTTCATCAAATCGGTTGGCAAATCAGAAGACGTACAAGGCGAATGGAGGAGGAGGAGAAAGAGGCGAAGAAAATGAAGAAGAACGCCCCTGACAAAACTTTCCCTTCATTTCATTCATTTTAGATTGGGCGGTCCCACAGTTTCACGAATTTCTACGTCTCCTAGTACTTTTTTTTTTGATTTGGTCTGCTCATCTTCATTACTGGGTTTAATTTTTCAATTTCGCAATTTTCCTGCATCCTATTCGATTTTCAAATTGTTTCAGGCTATTCAGTGTTACTTTCAAAATTCTCTTTAAATGACACTGATTCGGCTGGTAGGCTTCTTAGGAAATAATCTGAAGTCTTTTATAATCTTACCGGGTTGAAAGGTCATCATATTTCATTATTTTAATCATTCAAACCACAGAATTTTTCTCACCCATTACTCATCGTTCATTTTTTATATTCACTCGAACAAGTCGTCACAAATTTATCGATTGAAGGTGCCATTAAAATGCGAATCGCGTTTCTCCATCATCATGTTCGCTGAACCGTGTCTTAATGGACCACGTTAATTAGTCATTTCATACGGCGAGGAACCTTGATCAAATAAATGTCTGATGAAAATGATAATCAGATATATATTCTTCTTTTTTTTCTGCTCGAGCTTCCTGAAGCGTTGAAAAAGCATTGAAAGAATTGATTATTTTCAGAAGATTGGAAGAAGAGAAAATTTTGAGGTACTGTAAGGAAGTTACGTTGGCACCCATTGTGCGGACGTCTTATTCGACGACTGTCTTGTTTCGATTTCTATTTTTTCTTGCTTTTTTACTCAAATTTAATCTGTTCGAATATTATTGAAGAAACAGCAGCTTGTCATTATTTGAATGAAAGCTGAAAAATCTTCGAGACCCATAGAACTTAATCGAACTTCGCGAAGCTCTTTTAGACTCAATGTTTTCCGAACAAGACGTAAACATACATTTCTTTGCTTGAGAATGTATCAAAGTGATTTTCTTCCTATTTTTACAATTATTTGCCTTTATTGATAGTTCGAAACAAATATCACATATATATCTTACTTCATTGATCTCAAATTTTGAGCTGAAACTTGAAGGATCAGTGAGCCTTCTGTATGATGGTCCTTGAACGAAAAAAAAAAAAATGAAATCTCACTGTTACTTGCGCATTTCCGTTACGAAATAGTGGTAGTTGGATGGACTATAGGTCAAATATTCTCATAGCAGGATTTTTGGGGAATTGGGTTTTTCCGGTTGAAACTTTTGCCTTTGCCATTTGCCTGAAATGGCCCCTGGACCCATTACTTTCGATGACTAATAGCCTTTTCCCGTCATTGTTCCATACTCACACTAGTTGGTACGCCATCTTGTTGTAATTTCTTAATCAGACACCGTTTTTCCCAAGTTGGACTTATAATTTGATTGTTTCTCGGCTTCTTCCTGAAAATTCATCAAAATTTTTTCATTGAAAAGCAGCTTTTTTTCATCATTAAATAAAATTTAAATTTTTGCCTTCAAATGTTTTTTTTCAAAACCTTGCTAGGGCTCTCAACGGCACGGAAGTGGTAAATAACTGGAAAAGTACTGGAAACGGTTCTTCGCATTAAGAACTTCGTAAATTTTTTTCGCTCTCTGAAAGCTTCCGCAAGGATTTTTTGAGCAGACTGAAGGGAATGTATCCGATTTTAAAAAATCACGTTTATTAAAGAATTTTTTTGCTTGCTCTTTTTTTCAAAGCCAGTCTGGTCACTTTTACTTTTTTTCGGCATCCTAAAACTTTTCTTTTTTCGATGTTTTCAAGACCTTTTTCAGTTCTTTGTACACATTAGAATGGAAATTTTTTGTGCTCAAATATTTTTCAAAATCCAACCAAAATCCTCCAGTTTTTGAAAATGGTACCATTTCGTAGCATTTTTTTTTTTTGGTGATTTCAAAACCTGTTCTAGCTCTTTTTTCAAAAGGTTTCATTGGAAACTTTTTGAGTCTGTATATGTCTCAGAATGCTCCGAATTAGAAAATAGGGCCATTTTGAAGCCATTTTCCGATGATTGTTTCAAGATCTTATCCACTTCT